GAAACATTTGAAGTTCTTTATGTGGCCATTGCCCTGCATCTGATTTTGCTTGGCTTTGGGAGGAGCTGCCACGGTGAGAGATTTAAACTCCACCAACAGCAGCTTCTTAGGAAGGTCTTCATCGATCTTTGACTCCTGCAACAACGCACTTCTGTCAGGCAGGCTTCTTTCTAAGACATTTATATGGTATCACACAGCAGCTAAAACAGAAACACAGTGCTCAGGCTATATGCAGTATGGACCCTGAAAAGCTTAGGCTAAACTACCAACGCCTGGATGACAGACAGCTTCAAATAAAGGCCATGCATGCTCCAATGCGATTTCTAAAATGCTGTAATATACCGAGTATTGCAATAAGATATTTTTATGATTTATCACCTCTTTTCAACAGCAAATTATTTCCTAAAAGTTCAACTTTATCAATATCTGGTTTATTCAATAAGATAAAGTTATCTCACTTCAGCATCACTGTCACTAAAACCCGCCATATCAATCTGCTGTCTGATTTTTACTCATGTGACTGGACCACTAGTTAGCTCTGAATTATTATTGTCCAGCTAAGTGTTGGGCATTTTTCAGTTTCAAGCCTCGATATTTGTTGGCCCTGCATCGATACAATATCACGATACTACATCGTATCAGGTTGTTTTTTTACCCCACCCCTACCTGATAGGTCTTTGAGATTAATTAAATACACAGACTGTTAATATAATCACATATATAAAGCTTAAAATATTTCTTCTACTAGAAATGAGCAAGAAAACTGAGCTTGGTCTTCAGGAGGAAAAGAGAACAACTCACTTGGACTTCCTGTTTGATCACAACTGGTTTCAGAGGGCTTTTAATCTCTTCTTTAGGCTGAGGAATATCTGCATTGAGTAGTTCTAAATCCTAAAAAAAAAGAAGGTGGAAACTGAGAAATAATCATTCTCAAACATAGCTGGGTTATAGTTGGGTATACTGATGTAGTTTCAGTTTCAGTTGTCTGCAGACTGAATTACAGACAGTAAATCATCTTTCCTCACCTCAATGAAGGACACATCATCTTCTTCAAAAGGAATCACATCTTTACTCGTACTGGCTGATGACATTTCTTCTAGTTTATTCGACCCACGATTAGCCGTTGTGCAGTCAGCTGGGTGAGCTGGCTCTGTCTTAATACGGACAGCGTGCTGTTCAGATCGCTGGCTGTTCTTCTGCAAACTCGATTCTTTCTCCAAACCTGCCTGTGGCCTTTGATTGGTTATCCCATTTTTCTCTAGGTGGACACGTTGCCTCTTGCTCGAAGACTCCGCAGTATTTAAAACTTGTTTCTGTTTAGCTGAACTGTGCTCATTTTTTGCTTGCTGGCCTTGATTAATTGAGGGTTGCTCATCAAAGCAGTCCATATCTTCAGACATAATGGACTCCAGTTCCTCCATCTGTATCACATCTTCCATCTCCTTCCTCTTTCTACTCTGTGGTTCCTCTGAGCGAGCCTCTGACCGTCCCGCGAACAAATCAGCTGCTGACCCGAGTGGAGTCTGGGACACAGTAGCAGGGCCTCTGTGTGTAAGTGGGGGGATTTCTTCAGACATGGCCGGGGTGTGTGGTGCCCGAGCAGTGACGGATGATGCTAGTGCAGGTCGCTTTGGCTCTGACGTGACAGCCGAGGGCTCGTCCTCCAAATGCCTGGATGAGAGGATAAATTAGAGAGAGATGGGCAGAAATAGATAATGTTTTTTTCTTTAATATATATATATGAAAAATATTCCTTTCATGTGGTACTACTTCCTCTTTATTTCAGTATAACAGAGATTAGTTTGCAAAGATCTGAAGTGTCATAATTTGAGGTCCCATGAGAGAAAACAGTCACACATTTGTCTTCAAAACTTAAAAAAAAAAAAAAATCTAAACAGTGTGATTTCCTGCTGTGGGTTTTCTTTTTCAATCCTAAACACAGATTTACCTTTTCTTGCTGGCTGGCTGAAAGAAAGTGGTCAGAGTCGACTGCTTCTGTGGAGAAGCTTGTGAAGAGATTTTTGGTTTCTGAGGAGACTTCTTCGGAGGGAAAGTCTTGGTGCCACTGTTAGTCTTAGGAGTTGATGGCTGTAGTCTGATGTCAAAACTGTCTTCACCTGAAACAGAAAAACACTCATTTAAAAAAATAAAGATATTAGCAGAACAGGTATTGGGCTGGAACATGCATAGCTGTTGACAAGGTAGATGACTGACCTTGAGGTCAAGGGCGCCATGTTTTAAACTCGTCTGAGATTTTTAGTAATTTCAAAATCCTATATCGTGTTGTTCTCGAGTTATCGTATTCACGGCACCCACAACAAAACCCTATACCTGCATTTTTTATGGCCGAGGAGTAAAAATCCAGCACGGGTGCTGGATTAGTCCTCTGTTAAGCTCAGACAATGTAAGAAAACTATCAATCGCTGTATTTCTGATTCACTCATGCAGCTACCTGCTAGCTTGGATTCAGACTTCTTCTTCTGTGATTCTGCGTTTGCTGCAGTGGTGAGCGACGAGCTCATTGTTTCATCCACAATACACTGAGTGGTCGTTTTCTGAGCCACGAGGCTGATTACACGGAGCTGACTGGCATACTGGTGCGGCTTCTTCTCAGGCGTCTCCCCTACCGACGTCACCCCGGTGACCTCAGAAACCCGCATCCTGACAACGCAAAAAAGTGAACTGAAACACCTCAGATGAAGAAGACGACTAAGGCAACGTTTTTGACGGGGACATCATGGTGTCTGTAAGTGCTTGTCTGAACCTCTGTGATGTCTCTGTGTTCGCTGCATACGCCGTGATGTTCTGCGATGCTGCAGGTAACACGGTCTCATCCACAGCTACGCTCTGTGACAGCGAGGCGCTTGGGATTCTGGGTGTCACTTTTGGTACAGAGTCTAAGACACAAAAAAGAAACAAAGCAATCCAAGGAAACGTATAAGAAAACAAATAAATATAGAAACTCTTGTGTGTTTTTTTTGTTTGGTCAGCCACCTGAGTCTGAGCTTGAGGGATTGCAGTATTTTTCACAGGAAGCATAGATGGCAGCCAGACCGATTTCAGACTCTGTGATGACTCGAAGGCCTTTTCTGTGCCAGTGTTAAAAGGAGAAAGATTCAGAAATAATTCAGTCAACACAAACAAATGATCAACACCCTGCAGAACAAAGGGAGTGTGAACCTTTCAACGATGCTCTTCACAGAGTTTGCCCACTCTGTTGCGGAGGGAGACAGCAGAGTTTGGGAGGCACCTGTTGTAAAATCGACCACACAGCTCTGCGGAGACTCCAGCAGGTCACGAGGCAGGCTGCCCTCCTCCAGCAGCTGACTCCTGCCACCTCCAAAACTCACTGCCACACGAAGGCGCTTCAGCTGGAAACAGCACAGTAGAGCCGCATATTAACACACATACACAAATAAACTACAGATAAACATAGAAACATCAGTTTAACAAGGATGCCCCTCATGCCAAACTCTTGAGTGAATATCTGCCCAGAGATTGCTTTTGGCTCCTTTGAATTTCACCTTCACTTCCTTTGCCTCCTCAGACAAAAGCTCTTTTTGCCTGGTGAAGTTTCCATAGTTATTTCAATTGTTCCAGCATCCAGCACTTCAGCTACCTGGGGAAAGTTACCCAGAGCTACAGAGAAAACAAAAGCACTGTTTTCTGCTTTCATTGTGTGAGCATGCCTTCAGTTTCCTGTGAGATTTCATCCCTGCTGCACAGCAGAGCAGATAAGCAGACAATCTAAATATGGACAGTGTCATATTTATTTACATTCTAATGATAATTTGAAGCCAAAAAGTTAGCTATGCAAAGCATGGATGCAACATAGGTTGTATAAAGTTAACAAAAATATCACATCACAGTTAGCAGAGTGTGCACGTCAAAGGAAAAACATGCAAAAGAGATAAAAAGATGAATCCATTAGGTCTTTAACCTCATTCATCTCACATAAGAGAAAAGGCCAAACAGCAGAGATAAGTTTATGTCCCTGATGAGGTTTCATAATGTGAAAATGCCCTGCGGTGCACCAGAACTCACCTCATCTGCACAATCAGGTGTTTTTATTTATTTATCCATATACGATTTATCACAATGGGACTTAACCATAAATGCCACACAAGAAGTACTGAAGTATGCAGTTAATGTCTTTGTTAAATATTAGGATGGATGGATCCATGCTTTCTTGTTATTTACACCAAATTCTGGTGCCTAAATGCAGTGAGCTTCTGCAATGTTATTGTCTGATTGGATGTTTTTGTTAAAGAGTAGTTGAATAAGTGTATCTAATAAAGTGGCAGGTGAGTGTATATTGTGATTAGATCAAAAAAAGGTGACTAACCTGTTTGGCGCTGAGGAAAATAAAGGTCCGTCCACTGAAAAGCTGTTTGCGAAGTGGAACCGCTCCAAGATTAACATCGTCTTTATTCAAGCTGGGCTCATCGATCTCAGGAATGAAGCTTAAAAAACACAGAGAGAAGACGGCGTTGAGCTCAGCTTCAGCGTTACCGTGTATCCATGGGAATGGTTTGTACTGTACCTCTCGGCTTTAGGAGGCGGTAACTTCTGCTGAACAGCTCTGCTGAGCTCTGAGAAGAACTCTGGCTTCACGATGGGACAGCAGCACAGCAGAGCAGAAATGGTCTAATTAAGAAAAAAACAAAAATAAAAAAGTAACGAACAAACATGTCACAGGAGCTAGCGATGGTACAAAGTCGGGTCCTGACCTTAATGGTAACTTTAACAGAAGACATAACCAGGTGGCTGCAGTCCTGAGACCAGCTGCTGACCAGCTTTCCACCCAAAGCTAGCACGGCCTGAGAGAGCGACGCTTGGCCATCGTTGTCCAAACACGATGAACACACGACTGGCTGCAGATGAACCACACTAACACAAAGAGGACACGGTGATTGAGATACAACCAACCACAATCAGAACGTTTTATTAATCCAAGAGAAAATAACGAGGTCACTGTTGCGCCAAGACAGTAAGAACAGCAACAAACAAGTACAAATAATAAATAATATGACAAAACAGCTCTCATAATAGTATAGCTAACCAAAGTTGAAACTGAGCTTTTTATTTTTTGTATGCATGCGCAGATAAAACAATCCTTTTAGAATTCATACAACTATACAACTCATGTATGAGTTGTATAGTTTTAATGTTTTATTTGGGAACAGTGTGTGTATGT